CTCGAATATCCATACTTCTTTTCATGCTACCATGTGTTCTCAACACAATCATCATGACGGTTTTGACAATTTGTTATAGTGGACATGATAATTTTGATAATTTGTCAAAACAGAGGGCATCACTAAATGAGTACTTCTATAAATTAGTGGGATGATAAGAAGGAATAAGCAAACTAAAAAGTGGGGGAAAATAATGATATCAATACTTATTCACATTTTAAGGCACCTAACTGAATCATATAAAAGTTGGAAAATGTAAAAAAATAACTTAAAAATAAAAGAATTCATCTAGTCACTGACATTAATGACAATAAATTTCAAATCTTAAAAAATATGGTTAAAAAGAAAAAAAAAAAAAAGTAAAGGCTTTGAAATTTGACAGAGGAAGTTGATTAAATTCTAATCAAAGTTATCATAATAATTCTAGAAATTTCATGTCACAATAAACAACATGAAATACTACATCATCTTACCATCAGGAAAATATATTGTAACATATAAATCATTAACAGTCTCATATCATACTTTTTGGTAACTCAGCACAAGAATTAATGATAATTAAGCATGTATCTTAAGCAAAAAACAGAAAGAAGGAAAGCATTAATGGTGCTAAGCTAAAACAAATGCATAAAGATGTTGCTTTTTACTATTCAGTATGAATAAGCAAAGACTGAAGAAAAATTCTAAAACTGATTCATGTTTGAGGCAAAAATGACTTTCTCTTGACTTGCAGAAGTCAAAAAAAATACGAAGGAATAAATTGTGCATATTATATACCTCAAGCTGGTTGTTTGTGATGGTTGAGCGTCTCTTGTCGAGGATTACCAGCAGCTCAGGAGCCACACCTACATAAATAACACAAACACACACACGTGCACAATCAGTGACCACTATCACAAAAGCAATATTAAAAAAATCATGAAGCATGTGACACCAAGTTAGGCTCTGCAAAACCCTGGCCTGACTGACAGGGCAAGAAGGAAAGATATTCAATAAGACAGACATTCTAAAGAAAAAAGAAGAAATGTAATCATAAATCAATGAATGAATAACAGAGATTTAAAAGCAGTTTTACACGTGACATTACTAAAAAACAAAATCCACAAAAAAAAAAAGATTTTCCAATTCTCTCTGAAGACAAACTACTATTAAATGTTAGTGAAGCTATCCTCAACAACTTGCTACAGACGTTTGTACAGCAGAGACCCCATGCAGCGAGAAACTGTAAACCTCCTATTTACCAACTTTTTCCTTACTGTTTAAGACTATTAAATGAAGCCTGCAAGCCCACTGCTAATACTTTCTACTATGACTAAAAACAATCCGACTCCCATTCCTAGTTCTGCCTAAGTATGGGTAAAATTTTCAAAGACTAAATGCCCATAAGTAAAAAGCCAAAAGCTGAACCTGTCTACTAATCTCTTGTTATTCAGCTATTTCTGCACATTACCATTTCCTCACCAACTTTGGATATTTCACTATCTACACTTTAAAGAATTTGATTAGGAAGCCTCAAGATCCCAAATACTATAAAACTTAAAATTTGAATTCCTTAAAGGTTCATGCAATAAATGGATAAAATGTTGAATTTAGAGTAGATACAAAAGAACCAACATACCAAGTAATATTTGAGAGAGATATCTGAGGGATTGAAGGGGTGGTAAAAAAAGGAGAGAATAACAGAAGAAAATCAGGAAGACAAATGTTGGAGTGAGAGGCAGAGAGATGGGAAGGTAATGGAGAGAGAAAGAGAGGGAGATGATAGAGGGAGAGAGAAAGAGAGGGAGATGATAGAGGGAGAGAGGGGAGAAGGAGATGAAGAAGAACAAGTGAGGATAAGGGAGAGGATAGATGAAGGGAGTGGAAAAGGGAAATGGAGAGGAAGGGGTAAGGAGAGGAGAGAGGGAGACAGAGAGAAATGAAGAAATGAGAGAGTTATGGACTGAGTACGAAACAAACAGAAAAAATACTGATATACAACTGTATCCAACTACTCCCTCCTCACAAGACGCTACCAGAAGAAAGCACCAAATCTCCAGTCCAACATTAATTGGGTACACTACCAACACCTATCAGAGAAATACACCAGTCCCTCATTTAGCCGTTCCATTATCAAATTAGGGTAGAGGATGGATGCTAAAGAGATCCATTCTCTCAGAACTGCCTCAACCAAAATTTCAACAAAATTATATATATATATATATATATATATATATATATATATATATATATATATATATATATATATATATATATATATATATATATATATATATATGTATATATATATGTGTATATATATATATATATATATATATATATATATATATATATATGTATATATATATGTATATATATATGTATATATATATATATATATATATATATATATATATATATAAAGAAAATGAAAAAAAAAAAAAAAAAAAAAAAAAAAAAAAAAAAAAAAAAAAAAAAAAAAATCATTATTCAACCCCTTGGTGTCACTTCATGCTAACAACCAAAAGGCCTTGTGGGAAAACAGTGAAACACCTTGACATGCATGCATCAACTATTAAGCACCTTCCCTGAAACAACCTTGGAGAATATTTCCCTCGTTTAAAAAATAAGAAGGTGATTCACACATGATCTGTCAAAGTGCTACTCCGTTTTACTTCCTTTTTTGTTGTTTTCAGAATCAGAGAGAACTTCAAAAAGTAATTTGCCAAGTATCATGCAAAATAGAACATGCACATTATAATAACACATGGATATCCTGAAATCCATCCATGCATTAATACAGGCATATGCTGGTGCTCTTCATCTAAAGAATTCTATTGGACAGCTGTAAGTATGTAGGATATGCAGAAAGACTGTGAAACTTACTAAAATACCATGGGGGGAAAAAATCAGTAAAAATAATCAAAAAAATATTTATATATAGAAAACACATCTCTCTGTGAATTACCTGTAATATGGTACCTCACTAGAATCATCGAGAAGGGGGGAAAAAAGAAGAAAAAAAGAAAAGTAAAAACAGATACTGAAGCTACTATGTGTCTGTCTACTTGCTGTTATGTAAACAACATTCTGCCTGTCCTTTTTATGAATTATTAAAAAAAATAAATAAATAAAATTCCTCTTTTCTCTTCTATTCTCCTTAGCTATTCTACATAAACTTGCCCTCCCATTGAATAATCTCCCAAACCACTTTTATTATGAAATGAACGGAACAAAAACTAATTCCCTCAATACAGAACTGTGGTTGAGATTTCCACGAGCTGTACTTAACTTTCTTTTGCCAGATCAAACTTTTTATATATATATATCTTTTTTTTTATTTTTTTTTTACTGTCTTTGAAAGTGAAATGTTTTAACAATATAAAATACCCCATACACCTTACATATAAAGGATGTACATTACTGAAGAAATCTTTCTGAATAAGAATTCACGAACATGAATTCCGTGAGTTTGTTCACCTCTAAAAATGTTGCCACTTTCTTTATGAACAATAAAAATCAACAATATCAATAAGACAACCATATTCATAGACAGGCAGAATAGTCATCTACAAATAACAGCATTATGTAACATTAATAAAACCTTATAAAGGAGACAGATAATGAAGACAGTACAAAACATATGATAATAAGATATGATATACATGTCAAAGATAAGAAATGTAAGAGAATATGAGTGGATGAATATTTGTATGTGTGTGTATGTGTGTGTATGTATGTGTGTGTGTGTGTGTGTGTGTGTGTGTGTGTGTATGTGTGTGCATGTGTGTGTGTGCGTGTGTTTGTGTAGGTAGGCATATGTGCATGTGCATGTGTGAGTGTAAGTGCTTATAGTATCTTAAACACATGAAGGTAAAACATATAATAACTATTATTTTGTATTCATTACTATCATTCTAGTTTAAGGAATGATCAAAGATATCAAACTACCTCATCAAAAGACATTTTTAGCAAACCACACTTCTATCTTGCTTGTATTCTTTGTAGCAAATGAACTTGGTAAGTTATATGGCATCAACTTCTAAGACCTCACATTAATAAAACAAAACACACAAGCACCAAAAAGTGCCACTCTCTCCATATTCCTGAGATTAGGGAACCATTTCAATGGCTGCCAAGAAACTTAATTTTCCTACTTGTTCTTTGTAGTCCCAAAACTGACATGAATCAAAACTGAAAACAAGCGATCTCTGTGGGTAAAGGCAAATTCCTAGAAACCTACACTGAATAGTGACCCACTCTCATTCACACTCTCTCTCTCTCTCTCTCTCTCTCTCTCTCTCTCTCTCTCTCTCTCTCTCTCTCTCTCTCTCTCTCTCTCTCTCTCTCACTCACTCACTCACTCACTCACTCACTCACTCACTCACTCACTCACTCACACTCACACTCACACTCACACTCACACTCACACTCACACTCACTCTCACTCTCACTCTCACTCTCACTCTCACTCTCACTCTCACTCTCTCACTCTCTCACTCTCTCACTCTCTCACTCTCTCACTCTCTCACTCTCTCTCTCACTCACTCACTCACTCACTCTCACTCACTTTTCCTCAGCCACACTCACAACACTCACTCATTTACTCATCCACAAACCCTTCCAACTATCTCATTCATGATTTTCTTGCCAGTAATAATTCTCTTACACATGTATTCTTAAAAAGTAACCGATAAATGATGGGAAAATTAGCACACAAAGACATTTATGGAGAGGATAGCATGAGTCATAATCAAAGCACCAATGATCCGTATTAAAAATGTTAATCACACGAGCCTCTGACAGTCCTTTTAGGGGGCCGAAAACGTAAAAAAGAAAACAATAAAAAAAAAAAAAACTAAAGGCACACAACTATTATCAAACACACTGAATATTCAATAAACAATAATACAAATAATGAATCATGAAAACAGTTAATAAATAAAGATTAGTATTAACACTGTAAAAGGGGGGGGGGGGGGGATCTACACATCACTCATAAATACCGATGAAATAAGCACCTTTGGCCTGTGCCCGCTTTTTCTTTTCAACCTTTAAGATGCCATTAATAATGCCCGCGGTTTTCTGGGCTTCTGCTTTCCCTTTGGATTTTGGGCCTGCTGTGAAAAATATAAAATAAAAAATGTCTCAAATCTATGTTCATCTGTGTGCGTGTGCTTGTGTGCATGATTGGAAAGGAAGAAAAGAAAGAAAGAAAGATATAAAGACTTTTTTCTTCTGCTTTTTGTTTCAAATATGTATAATGTCCAACTGAAACATGAAATAAAGTTATAAGGATGTTTGTTACCTGTAAAACAGTGAGATATATATCCCAAATTTCAGCAGCATGTACATGAATGTAAAAATAGTGTTTTGTTTATTTTCAAGAACCAATCTTATTCCATAAAATACAGTGTACACATTAGTATGAATATTTTGTCTTTATGTATGTATGTATGTATGTATGTATGTATGTATGTATGTATGTATGTATGTATGTATGTATGTATGTGTGTGTGTATGTATGTATGTACTTTTTGCTTGTGTGTGTATGTGCTAACATTTTCAGAAAGAAAAGACAGAACTCAAGGCACAGTCAATCAAGGACTATCCTTTGAAGCAATGAATATTACCAAACCCTTAACTAAGGAAAAATATCTTAATGGTTCTTATGCAGTACAGAAGCACAAAGCTGTCACATACAGGAGACAATATCAGGCATATAAAAACGGTTTCTTACTTGCTCTTCCCACTTAATGGTATCATGCTAAAATTATGTATACCATTTTACTGTAATATGGCATAAGGGAATGCCAATATTCAGATATAATTCTTAATTTCTAAACAAACAGTCACAGCTCGAGTTATCTAAAATTTTGCACTTGTCTTTGGTGATTATTTACTTAGAGAAAACTACATGACATCATGTCAAAATTGCTTTTGAGCTAAATATTTTCCAAACTATATTTGGGTTTAAGTAAAACTGTATATCAGTTAACTGTATAAAGGACAAAAGTTCTGTATAAAATCACACACTAAAATAGTTCAGTAAGGCAGGCTTTCACAGACTTACAAGTCTATGATTCAAATTTTTCTTCACAGGACAAGTGCAAAAGTCTAGAAGAACAATGTCACTTAAAAAATACGTTATCTATGACAGCTTTAAGCGAGCTTCCTTTAAGTTATCCTAGAAAATGTTCAGACTTTAGCTTAGCAGGTTAAGGTAAAATCTAAACACTGCAGACATTTGAAACAAGATCTGCATAACTATCTCAAGTCCCTGGCATGAAAAACAGGAAGACACACTAGTTCAAAATGCATCGCAGAGCACTCTTAAGCTTATCTTAAAATCTATAGATATATCACTTCTGTATTCTTAGAATATATTCTTAAATGATTTTTACTTACAGCTACAAAAAATTGCTTCTATGGCTACAGGAGTCTTACTTACCACTGTTGGCAGCTTGGGGTGTGTTCCGGGGGAGAGAGGAGGACTTTTTCTTGCCTCCAGCTTCCTCCCCGACGGAACTGCGGGCGAGGGATGCCGCCATCTCCCTCACTGACCTCACGGGGGCGCTGGTTTGCTCATCTTCTGTGGCATCACTGGACTCATATTCACCTACAGTGTCAAAAAAGAGGAGAATAATACATAGCTTAGTATTCTGAATATACATGACTATAAAGTAAATGCATGTGACAAGGAGATGAGAGGGAGGGATGGGGAGGAGAGAGAGAGAGAGAGAGAGAGAGAGAGAGAGAGAGAGAGAGAGAGAGAGAGAGAGAGAGAGAGAGAGAGAGAGAGAGAGAGAGAGAGAGAGAGAGAGAGAGAGGGGGGGGGGGGTGAGAGAGGGGAAGAGGGAGAGGGGAAGAGAGAGAGAGGAAGAGGGAGTGGGGAAAAGAGAGAGGGGAAGAAGGAGAGGGAGAGGGAGAGGGAGAGGGAGAGGGAGAGGGAGAGGGAGAGGAGGAAGGGAGGGAGAAAGGGAGAGTGCACAGCACAACAATATAATAAAAATAAATATCTTATCAGAAAACCTGCAATGCCATCCTTTCTCTGTAATTTTCTTTACACCTTTTAAATTTAAAAGATTCATACATTCCCTACAGAAGCACAGGTTTTGCATCTAAGCAAGATAAGCACACTCACTCACACAAGCAAAGCCAGCAGTTTTCTTATGCATAATAAAAGCTTTGGGTTTACATATGTGTATAAATATGTGTGGGATTCATGTTGAACAATTTGCAAGTAGAACAACTAAGGGAAGAACAGTGTGTCACCTTGTTCTTCCTTTCATTGTTCTTCTTGTAATATATATTTGTGTGTGTGTGTGTGTGTGTGTGTGTGTGTGTGTGTGTGTGTGTGTGTGTGTGTGTGTGTGTGTGTGTGTGTGTGTGTGTGTGTGTGTGTGTGTGTGTTTCTCTCTCTCTCTCTCTCTCTCTCTCTCTCTCTCTCTCTCTCTCTCTCTCTCTCTCTCTCTCTCTCTCTCTCTCTCTCTCTCTCTCTCTCTCTCTCTCTAACTCAAACAATTTGCTGAAATACAATTAAAATATAAACCCATGAATAACAAATACTTCCATGCATACTTCCCATAAACTGCCAAAGAGATGAAACAAGAAACTGGAATCTCAGTCCACTTCCTGCACAAGTAACTTTAATTTAATGTAATAACATCAACCGCTGCCACTCTCTTCTTAAGTAATACAGTACAACCAACAAAAGTTCTTATCGATACATATAGAGAGTAAAAAACAGTATATTAGATAAAGAATACAAACACAATTATATAAAAGTCATCATTTAAATATGTAAGTATATAAACCACAGCAATATATCTGGTTATTAGAAGACCACCAGCTACCTATGGCACAGATGTCAATATTAACTAACACTTAATTCTACATTCCCATGCAAATAAGCACAAGGGGAGTATCATAAGGATAAAAATGCATGACTAATACGCAACAAACTACATATCAAAAACTACTCTTCTCCATGCAAAATGCAACATCAGCAATCAAAAAACACAGGAAAGAATCATGCTTACAACAAGCTGTTCAGGAATTACTTTCTTATATGCACCAATATTACCCATCATTCTAAATACTGCCAGTTTAACCCTTTCTATCCTAGGCACCCTGAAACATTATGTCACCTGTGATATAAAGGGTTAAATATGGCTTACATACATGTAATCATCAAAATTGTCTTCTAATTTCTGCTCAGAACCTTTCAAAACTGAAGATAAAAACTCATGAGCAAATATTAGCCTTCATGATGCCATGTACTAAGTGGGTAAAGGGAAGAACTTTCACTTCATTGTAATTCTGCAGTGAAGAAAATAACAACAGACTCTCAGTAGAAAGAAGGAAGAGAAAGATGGAAAATAGGAATGAGTAAGTGTGGGAGTGCGTGAGTGAGGGAGAGAGGAAGGGAGAGAGGATGGGAGAGAGGGAGAGAGGGAGAGAGGGAGAGAGGGAGAGAGGGAGAGAGGGAGAGAGGGAGAGAGGGAGAGAAGGAGATAGAGGAGGGGGTGAGGGAGATAGAGAGAAAGGACGAGGGAGAAGGAGAAGGAGAGGGAGAGGGAGAGGGAGAAGGAGAGGGAGAGGGAGAGGGAGAAGGAGAGGGAGAGGGAGGGAGAGAGGAAGTGAGTGAGTGAGTGAGTGAGTGAGTGAGTGAGTGAGTGAGTGAGTGAGTGAGTGAGTGAGTCAGAGAACGAGAGAGAGTCAGAGAAAGAGAGAGAGTCAGAGAAAGAGAGAGAGTCAGGGAAAGAGAGAGAGAATGAGAGAATGAGAGAGAGTCAGAGAAAGAAAGAGAGAATGAGAGAATGAGAGAATATGAGAGAGAGAGAGAGAGAGAGAGAGAGAGAGAGAGAGAGAGAGAGAGAGAGAGAGAGAGAGAGAGAGAGAGAGAGAGAGAGAGAGAGAGAGAGAGAGAGAAAGAGAGAGAGAGAAAGGAGAGACAAAAGAAGACTTGCAGGAGAGTGAAAAAAAAAGAATAGGAGGAAGGAGAGAGGAAGGAAGGATGAAAGAAGGAAAGGAAAGAATGGAGGGATATGAATAAAGGGAGGAAAACACAGGAAGGAACGAGAGGAGAAGACAGTGAAGGCAGACAATCAAGTTAGACAAAAAGCTAATTAGTATAAAGGCACCAATCCAATCAACATTTGAACACACCAAACAAAAAGGAAACAATCCAAATGAACAACTCAATTTGGAACTTGCTCAGTACAGAGAACACAAGATGTAACCATAATATGAGTATCAATATTAATGTATTCAAAATATAAAAATAACCATGAGTGAATAGTTCTGCTCCCCGTTGGTGTAACTGTCTTTCTAAATGACTTTGAGGAAATTAACATGCCATTCATATGATTATCTTTGAATGTAATAAATCTTTGGGTCATGGCCTTGGGTTGGTTTACAGCAAAAGTGAGAGAACACACAAAGTTAGGGATAAAAGAGAGCAGGAGAGGTTAAAAAAGAATAACCCTACAATCTCTGAGTGCATTAGGTCCTGATGAGGATTAAGCATAATAGGGAAGAGAATAAGAAAATTTAAACACAAAGGAATAAATTATGGAGGTATTAAGGCTATGGCAAGGTTAACCAGTTGTTCACCAGCTGACCTATTTGCCAGAGATCTCTGAGGATATGCTATAGGAAGAGATGACTTCCTGCCACATTAATATGAAACTCATTTGTACATCCATATCAACAGCTACTCTCACTTGCAACAGAGAGATTTTTTCAATATTGAAATATATAATAAATACTATATATATATATATATATATATATATATATATATATATATATATATATATATATATATATATATATATATATATATATATATAAAAGAAGAAAAGTTCTTATACATCAGTGTGTGTGGGCTTATGTCCACCTACATATTTTCACACACACATTTTTCTCTACAATACACATACCAAATCCACCTTTGGTTCCTACACACTGAACAAGCCCCTGGATGCAATGTTTACCTGCTCTCTGGTCTCCTCCAATGACAGACTTGGGTCGCGGTTTAGGTGCAAGAGGGGGAGGGGGCTTAGGTTTGAGGGCGGCGATCACAGGCTTGGTGTTCGGGCTGGGTCCTGGAGAGAGCCCCACACATATGCATACGGTCAAATAAAACAAAGAAGCCAGGCAAAACAAATGACAAAAGAGTGCGTTACACCAGTCTGAGCTCAGTCAGTTTTGATGGTTAACTCTTTGTATTGTGAAGTAAAAAAAAAAAAAAAAAAATAGGTGAGTGAGTGAGTGGGTGAATTGATGAATGAATGAATATATCAGTGAATCAGTGAATTCATGAATAGACTGCGTTGCTAAGGATGCAAAATGCAAATAATGAGTCAATGACTGAACATGTGTGTATACATGCAAGTATACGTGCCTCTCTCAAACGTTTTATTAGATATGTAAAAGTTATTCTCCCTATCAAAACTGACCAAACTATTTTTTCTGAGCTTAACTTTAATACTGAACATATTCTGCATGATTTTGTTTATACTTTCATAACAAAAGGAATTCACTAGTTATCAAGCATCAAACAAATGCATACAATATGCTTGTGGCACTTTGCTCCTGTTGTAAAGGCATGTATTATCAGAGTAGAAAAAAAAACAAAGGAAAATAAATCAAATTAAATGAGAGAATATAAACAAAAGTGCCACAAGCAATTTCACAATCAATGAACATGTCTGTTTAGTCAGTCCATGCTCAATTTAAATCTGTAAGATGCATATCTAATCATATAAAGCATTTAATTGTCATATCAATTTCTTTTAAAGAATATATGAAAATAAAACATAATTGTAAAGCCTTTTTACAAACAAAAGAACTCTATCCAGCAATGAGGGACACGCAATTTCTTTCCCAATTTTTAAAATCTAAAACCTTCCAGGATGGCAAAAAGGATAAGAACTTAAAACTCTATCCTCATTCCAACTCAGGTGCACATACTTCAGAAGCACTTAGAACAATGGCCAGGCAAGACAAAGCAACTTAGAATTTTTAGACGCGCAACAGCTAATAAATGTCGACCATTCTCAGAGCTGAAATTCACAATCTTTTTGTATTCACTTTGTGACTCATCTGATCTTGTGAGTTGCTGAAACTATAAACAGGGAGAGAAGAAAAATGCTTTTTACATGTCTCCCATAGTTGACTTTTTTCTTTTACTAATGTGAATTTACTGCTTTACTGAACTGCCGACAGCTTATCTGCATTACTATTCTATACTAATCTCTGCTTAATTATCATTCAGGATATCATTTCCTATACAAAAAAAAAAACTTTAAACTATTTAAATAAATCAATAAAGGTCAGTGACAGGGACTTAAAAGCTCTCAATCATCAATCAATCACAAACACAGCTGCTGAAAAGAACAACTAATCATTTTACAATACCTGCGTTTTCAATAACCGAATCCCTATTACAGTTTGGAGATTTGCTGCCACTGGATCCTCTTGGGAAGCCATTGGTAGGAGACTTTAGGCTGTCTGCGAGGCCTGTGGACCGCAGCCTCACACCTGCGAGCAAGCTGCTTGAAGGGTTTTCCTTTCTCTCATCACGATCCTTGTCTTCATCCTGTGGGATCAGGATCTGAGTTTTCTGTTTTTTATAAAATATCCTCTTGAAATTAACTCACATCCGAATGAACACATGTACATACACATAAATTCTCTTAATGTGCACATGTGCACAAACCCACTCAGACACTCCCAAGCACTCATCCACACGCATACAAACACGTGCATAGACAGACTTAAGCAAAGATGGTGCAAATAATTAAAGCTTACCTTAGGTAAGACAGAAGTTCTTTTCTCCTGCATCATCTTCATCTCCGCCAAGATGTTTCCTCCAATGCCCATTCCAAACTTGGGCAAGCCAGCCACTTTCCTTGGGGGAGAATCTTCCTTCCCATCTTCCTCACTGCGGCTTTTGTCTGATTGGGAGACAGCACAAGAGCTAGATCAGCAATTGCAATTTTTGGTCAAGGTTTTTTTATTGCAGCAAAAGTGGTCTGCATAAGACTTCAGGAGAGAGATATCTCTCTTTACAGATTATTTCTTTTCACTGTTTCCTGTAAATATAGTCTAATCACTTAACTATCAAATGAGAAAATCTAAAATAAAATACACAAGACAGCACAACCAAGCAGTCTACCCACCATCCATAGAACTGATGTTTGATGATGTTGAGGCTTTTCTTGCACTCATATCTGGTGATCTCTTCAGCATCGGTTCATTGGCTCGTCTTCCAATCAGGCTGGTTACACTGCGGCTAATTGAGTAGATATCAAAGCTTTCAGACCTTTGGTGTTGTTATATAGATGCAAATTATTTTTTAGATCTTTGAGTTACAGCATATGTAACAAGGTCTAAGGAAACATATGCACATACAGTACAAGAAAAGGAATTAATCTTTCTTTTAAACCTATCATACAACCTACTTCTAAGAATTTATTTTTTACCATTTTTCCCTATAAATTTACCATATACTCATATGCTGTTTATACAAACAAGAAAGATGTTCTTTCTGTTACCTCTTCTCATCTATGCTTTGGTCCTCATCTTCCATCTCATCTTCCTCCTCCGTATCTCGAGACTTGGTGCGCGGCCGTGGGCTCTCCCTCGTCACATCTGACTCCGACCGCGCCAGCGAGTCGGACCGCGTGAGTGACTCAATGCTGCCTCTCTCACTGCCGGTTCTCGCTCCGCCCGTGTGGGGGGAGCTCTCAACGGAGGAGGTGGAGCCATATTTGAGTAGCCGTGGGCTGTAAAGGGCAGGGATTGAAGAGGTATGTTTAATGTACTATTTTGCAACCAAGAGTTTGATGTTAATGCAAATGTGAAAAGATATTTATAGATATATATATAATCTCTTCAATACATGCATTATCCAAGCATTACTATAATGCAAAAGCAATATTAAGCAATGAGTCAAAAATTTCTATAAAAAAAATAAATCTATTTTGTAGCTAACCCATTCACTGTTTCCAAGATAGCCAGACAATACTTTCAATATTATTAGTCCCTTCTTTTATAACTTCATTTCAATGAATAGGAAACAAGTAATGAGAACAGAGCTATCTTTTTAAATTACCTCTGGGTAATAAAACCAGTGGATGGGCTTTTCAAGACTGTAAATGTAAATATGTTCATGTGCAAGTGTGAAAACATGCACACACACATGCACTCTCTCTCTCGCTTTTGATCCAAGTATACTAATATAGTGCTCACTTACATACACATGCCTCCACTTTCCCATTCTCACCCATTACTCACCTATTCTCTTCCATATACACAAACACATGGTACATTTGTGAAAATATCAAACACAAACCAATTTCTGCTAATTTTTGAAGTTAAATACAGATACTCCATTTCCCCAAAATAATCTAAATTGTCCCTTATAAAAATTTGGAATGCCAATAAACGTAACAATACTTAGGGTTAATCACATAGATTCCAAGAGTGTTCTAACCATCACTCAGGTAGCCATACCAATACATCCTCACACACAATGTGACTGCTTAATCCTTTCACATTACAGTGAGAGCAAGGATGTGCTTACTGACGATGCCTCCAAGGAATATAGGAATCTAACTACTTCATAACCAAAAAGAGTGTCTGTATGTTATTGTCAGTGTCTGTCTGTGTGTGCAAGGGTTTGTATTTATGTAAATGCATGTGTAAAAAAAAAAAGCATAAAAATAAACATAAAACTTATTTTTCATTAGCTTCATCAACTTACTGAGAGTCCTGGCTAACTCCGGTCTGGCTTTAAATACAAACATAGTCTAAATACACGCACCAACACAGTTTCCTTACAGCTGGCTTAAGTAAATTGCACAATGCCATAAAAAAAGGATAATAGAGGAAGAGAAAAGAGAAAAGAGAAAAGAGAAAAGAGAAAAGAGAAAAGAGAAAAGAGAAGAGGGAGGTGGAGAGAGCAGAAGAGAAAGGGGAGTAGAGGCAAAGAGACGAGAGAGAAAGAGATGAAGAGAGATAAAAAGAAAAATCACAACTCCATTCTCATTTCACTTTATATGTTGTATGCACAAGATGGCTCTTTCACAGCAAACTTCATATCATACTAACCTGTTCTCCGAGTCAGGGGAGATGAGGGGTGTCGTGGGAGTGGATGACCCGGGCCTGAAGAAAGTGTCGACGCCCTCGGAAATGTCATGGTCTTCCTCGACTAGATCGGCTCTGCCCATGGGTCTGGTTGGGGCTCTGGTCTTCACTCTTCGAGGTCTGGCCTTGCCCAAGTGCTGCAGTTGTCCACAGCTGCTTGGTAACTCCGACACACTGTCTAATGACTCAGCTGTTTGACCAAGGAACAAGATTTCAGTGATCTGAACCTCCTGACCTTTTTGATGTGTGTGTGTGTGTTATGCATATGTATATCTGTGTATATAGATCTAATGCATCTTTAATCACTTTTTAAAATTACAAAGCTCCTTGAAAAGAAATCTAGAAAGCAGCAAAAAACGTAATCAATTTGCATTTTAAAATCACCAAAAAGCAAAGAATATGACAAATAAATAAGTAAAGAATATTCCTCAAAAGTCCCAATAATCCCTTTTTTTTCTTTACTCATTACAAAATAACAGGTATGAAGAGAACTGTAAGTGTACTTCAAAATGAAGAAAAAGGCAGCAAAAGAAATTCAAAACAAGATGTGAGTTAAGTGTGTGGAAAGGTGGGGGTGAGAGGTGGGGGTGAAAGGTTGGGGTGAGAGGTGGGGGTGAGAGGTGGGAGGTGGGGGGTGGGGTTTGGGGTTTGGGGTGTGGGGTGTGTGGTGTAGGGTATGAGAGGATGGGTGTAAATGTGTGCAAGTGGATGGGTGCTGGGGTGAATGGGTGGGGTTGAGTGTAGTGCACATGCAGAGTTTTGCATGAGGAAGTGTATGTGCATGAATGTGTATTTGAATGATAAAATATAGATGACAGAAAACCAAAAGTACTTGAGAGGAAGAAATACATGAAGGAAACTAAATATGGAAAAAAAAAAATCAAGATTAATTACTTATGACAGCAGGTAAAGAAACAGGAAGAAGTTCAAGCCAAAAACCAAGACTAAAATATAAATTTTAAAGAACAAATAAGGATATTGATAAAAAAAAATACATTAAAAACTAAGTCATGGCAGCCTACCCTTCTCCTTGCTATAGTTGGGCAACGTAACAGACTTGACAGCACGCGTGGACTGACTGCTGTCTACCTCAGTCAAACCACTTATAATGCCTGAAAACATACTGCATGCATCAAACCTAAAACAAACAAGCTCTAGGAGAGTCAACCTCTTCTATTCACACTACCTGCCTGACCTCCACATTTGCACTAGGAAATGGATGACATTATTGGGTGTTAAACTGATTGGTGACTTGAAGTTAGTCAAGTGACTGAAGGGTTTTCATCATGTAAAATATAATTTGATATGAAACAAAAAAAATTATCCATTAGATTGATTCTTTCTCTTCTCTTCCAATTCAACTGAGGAATTGAAAATGAATCACTTCACTGAATTAAACACTGCAACTGCTATACAGTGAAAATCTAACTAAAAGACACAAATAACATACTGTTGATACTGTAACAAAATAGAGGTGAAAACTGATCACATCTCTTTTAAACTGTATGCTGGAAGGCACTACAAATGCATAGCTGACATACAACTTTAGGCTTTCATTCTCCTACATGTTTTTCTTTCAACGATTTTCATCTACTAAAACATTACTGGATTTAAGTTCCGATCCAATGAACATTACAGTCACTTTCCTTTACGCAAACCTTCATCATTCACTGTTTAACACCCTTTAAAAAGACTGCAAGACATGAGCAGAAAGAGACAGATTCACAGAAAGACAGACAAACAAGCAGAGAATATCTTAGGGTCCATATACACTAAACCATGCATACTCTGTATATGGAATTTCTTGAAAGATTTTAATAAAAGGGGAGAATATGGAATCAATCAATCATGCAAACTGAAGAGGGAAAAAAAAACTGAATGGTAGGTTTTCTTTGACAATTTCTCTGGAATTATGCATACTTATTCTCAACTCTCTATCCTTCTAATTGTGGTTAAGTGGCTTAAAAACACTTAAACAAATCATGTTCATGGTACTGATTAAAATCTTGAAAATTATTAATGTAACTTAAATACTAAAACCATTAACTTCAATGAACTACTATAACCGTTACAGATATAAACAACTGAGTCTCTAATTATTCTAAAAAGTTATTGTTATATATACATTTGGTACCAACTAAAGATGAGCATGTTCTAATACCAAAGCTTTGATCTAAAATTAAGCCAATACAGGTGATGAGAATATCAAGAGTTAGTGCAATTTTCTATTTATAATGCTAATGTGATAACAGCAATACCCATCATCTAGCAACGTATGACACACAACCACATTCTAGGTCTCTCACACCAGCCCTAGACCTAGGCCAATACTGCTAGTGGTGTGGGCTGGCCTTTGGGAAGTCCCTAAAATGACTACGGCTGCTGACTTTGAAACGCCTACGGTGAATCCCCTAAGTGGCCACGACTGCCAACTCTGAAAAGTGCTCAACACAACTAGTCACTATGTAAAACCAGATATTCCACTTTCTGAAGATAATTCTTTTAACATATAAAGAGATTACAATTCAAAAATGACAATTTTTTTCAAAAGCTGACAATCTTGATGATGTAAAGGATATACTGCTTGCAATCTGATGCAGATGTGGTGCATTAGTGCACCAAACAACTCTAAAAATTACTTTGAGGTGATCTCACAACAGTTCTACAAGACAAGTATCGATAATTTTATTTTATACAAATCTAGCTAAAAATAATACTAAGATGTATCTAGTAATGGTAAGAAATCACTCAATTATTCATTGAGATTTACAAAAACTCACAACATAACAAATCTGAAACCTGAGTCAGCAACAAGTTTCCTAAAATCGAATGTTTGTTCCCTATAGAATTAGTGTCATACAAATATTAACCCATTCCCGCCGGGCATGCCATGCCATACCCACCCGTGAGATTACTTGTTACATTGTTTTCACACACAGATGGCTACACTTATACTAAATCACCAATGAGCCAGTTACGAGTACCGCCTGTCTCGCCCGTTCACCCTTTTCTTTGATTTACGAAATATTTTATGTTATCTTTTTTTTCTGTTACTAATGTTAAAAGTCATTATAAAAATTATAATGTTTATGATAAAAATAACACCATCGATATTCATGGCACTAGTGAAAAATACGTATTTCCCACCATTTCAAATCAGGCGCTAACAGAGCCATCTATGGGCAGACATTTCACAAAAAAGTATAGAAAATAGGCACAGCATTTTCCCCATTTTTTGTTCATTTTCCCAGACGGCAATGGGTTAATTGGTGGAATCTATGTCAAGCACTTTTACCTCCTACACTAGTGACCTAGAGCAGGACTGGTGTCAGTGTGGTGTGTGTGACTTAGAATATGGGCAAAATAATCTCAAGTTTCAGTCCAGTCAATTTTGATTAGATATGTTGGCTTCAATACAAAGTCTTACTGTTTATAACTAAATAATGAAAACAATAGTTTCTCCTGTCCTTGCTTATCTCCCATTATTTTCCTTCTCTGAAAAATCACTCTCCTTTTACAGGAGAGTGAATTCTTAGAATATAGTATCACAAACAACCAGACACCATGTTTCTTAGACCCCTGTTTCTGTAATCACAACTACCTTGATTTCACATGACATACCCATAGACATGTGTGCTCTGTGTGATAAATCTTGTGATCTTTGACTGATCTCTAACGGGGAAGACAGAGGACGAGACATCAGCAGCTCCCCCTTGTATCTTAGATTGTCATCTCTGCCCCAGTGTATGACCGTGTCCATGTCTAGACTCTCTGACGACCTGCATAAAATGTCTATGCTATCAGTAATATTTCCGTCACTCAAAAAATTTTCCGCACTAGATCGACTGACTGAAGTTCGGTGTTTCAAGGCCGCCTGAACATCAGCATAATCTGGAAGGACAGGAGCAATCCAAAGTATGAGCATGCATTCAGATAAGAAAAAGCCTTGTCACTGTATGCTATCACTGTACCCTTGGTTCATGCAAATTAAAAGATTAGTGGTATAGGGGAATCAAGCAAATTAGGGATGATTATCTACAAGCTCTACCAATGCTTCCAGAGGTAAAACTGCATTGAAATCAAGTGAAAAGCAAAAGTTCTATTCATGCTTTAAGTCTGCAAACTGATCACCATCATGCAATCAAAGCATGAGAAAATATTTCTGCATAAAACTACAATATTAGAGTTACAATTCTATAAGATATCTTCAAAGCTGAGTAGGTAAGCATGCTAAGACTACTATACAAGACGTTATGGAATGTATAGGACCAAATTTACCATCTTGTTCTTACTTATCAAAATATACTCACCTACAACACTCTGTGGCCTCAACTTTCTTCCATGGAGACTCTTGCGTTTTGATGCAAGCTGCGGGGTAGCCTATAACACAGATGAGATGAGATTGAGAATGTATTACACTTTGAAATTTTTGTTCAAGGGGCACCAGAAATTATAAATTTCTGGGTCATCTGCTTGAAATTCAAGCAAGTGTAAATATAAGTTACATTACTTTAGATTACATGTTTGTAATACAAAGAAAAATCTGAAATACGTACAAACATACACTAGACCTATTACACAAATACTAATAAAATACAAGGTCCAGCAATTGATTTCTAAATTGTAAATATCCTAAAAGTATCTCTTTTCTTATTGTACACCTTTTGCCTCTCATTTTTCTCGCTTCACAAACAATACTATTAACCATATTATGAATGCCAGAATGCATAGAATGCTTGAAAACTGTAATAGCTAAATCCTACTCTCTTCCTGGTTTAAATTATAAACGAAGATGTGAGATCATCTTTCTAATAAAAAAAAATATCATCACTTAATTAGTTTCAGATGAATAAAGAAAATAAGTATGGCACTGCATGCACAAAAACAGTAAAACTAATCTTTACATAAAGGCAAGTAGTATTCATCTTAATACTATGCACCTAATATTATCCTTGGATCAAAATTCTGTAATTTTCCCTTGAATCATAATATGAAATACTGCCTTTGCAATTGCACTTCTTGCTGACAGATAATCACGTTTACTTTGATTCTCTCTAATGCTGGAACAGAAATCACACAAACAGTCAAAAAAAAAACAAAAAAAAAAAATGAATATTTCATAGCCTAGAGACACACACACACACAAAAAAAAGAAAAAACCCTGCCTAAGTATAAGTTGTTCATGAAGTCTGTACGTAGAGTGGACATTCCTCCCCTTAGGAGATGCTTACATGCGTTAATCCACACAAGAATGGGTGCTTTTTAGGTGCACACTCTCTTATTATAACAGGCAAGTGAAGGTCAGTCACAATGTTGTCAGTGGTTCTTGAAAACTATTGCCGTCATTAGCAGTTGTTAAGAAAGTCATAAGAATAAGGTTGAAGTAATTTCAGCAAAAAGCAGGAAGAAGCATAGATTCTTTATAAAGACTATAATGCAATAAAGAAAAAAATAAAGTCTTAACATTATCTTAATCCTTTTCAAAAGGGGTACCCTGTAAACAGGTAAGAAATCACAAAACATATACAAAACAGTTCAGCCTTACATCACTGAAATTATTTCTAAAGTTCAATACACATAGTTTGAAGTCAACAATAACTTTAGCAAGACAAAAAGCAATGCTCATCAAATAAACAGTTTAAACATATTGCTAAAAAAAAAATTCTCCACTTTATAACTGTGGTAGTAGTTATATTTATAAAACAAACTAATTTGACGACCACAAAAACACCTGTTTTTCAGTCTACTCTTAGTTTGTCACATACTTATCCTGAAAGTGATTTCTAAGTCAATAACTTATTGAAGATATTTCTTACTTAATAACTTATTGAAGATATTATATAATCTAAAAAGAAATCTTTATGAATTAGAAGGTTCATTAAAAGCCCTTGAAGGTACACAAAAGAAAGTAACATTAATAAATAGCAATGGCATAATAACCATGCAAAACAGCGTCAGTAAGAAAAAGTCTCGCACTCACACATCTGGGAAAGAGAACTTCAGGAGATTGCAGTGCATAAACCAAGCATGCAAACACAAGACATCAATAAGTACTTACGAGATTCAAATATTCCAATTTCTGTGAGTCAGCATGAAGGGAAAAAAAGGAGACAGAGAAATAAGATCAACACCCAACACCAAACAGGAGTAGCATGGTTAAAAATACAAATATGTGCCTTATAAATGCCACCAAAGTCACAATCAACTGCAGATACATAAATCACAAGAGATAATGACAATATGAATCACAGTAAGCAATGTGTGCATTTAAATGCCTATCTACAGAATCAGTATTGTCTAGAGATAACCATGGGAATATCTCTCTTATCTATATCTTCCATAAATAAAAAAATAAATAAATAAATAAATATTTTCAAAGCAAAAAAAACAATTATCAAAATATATACCTCTATGCCTGGTCACATATTTTTTAGAGAGAGTATTGGTAAATAACGAAGAAAAGATCAAGCAACTGAACCCCGTGCAAAACCAGTAGTCAATATTCTTCAGTAGGAACTTCTTAATAAAAATAAGAAATGCATAAACAGGAACAAACACATAAGGTTCATAAATTTTCAGAATAACTCAACATTAGGAAGCTCTTAATTTGCAGGTCTACAAATCTTCTTTCAGTAAAGTGTGTATTGGTACTGCTTATTGTGTGGTTTGTGGTTTAATGGCTGTACGTAATAGCAGAATCATACTTATTTCAAAATTTTATCATAGCAGCACTAGCAGCAGTTGGTATGGCACCAATTTTAACTGCAACAATTCACAAGCTTGCAGATGGACTTTCTAAACTAGCAATGGTGCAATATGCAGCTTTAAAAAAAATGGATGAGGGCTTGTCAGCAACACTATTTATGTACTGAAAGTGGATGTGCGCCCAAGAGTGCAAATGGAACTATGAACAGAATAATAGGCAGTTGTACCTGAACAAATGATGCTTTGGCTGGCAGGTGCTTGGCCAGGAATAGTTGAAATTATGTTTAAGTACCAATTTTCAATGCTTTTGTTTCTGCAAAAATAATCAGCCGCACCATTTATACTGGTGGCTGTATGAGATAGTGACATTAGTGCTATATCATTATATCAAAGTTATCATTTCCTTCACAAATATATACTTTCAATGCAAAGACTCAAAAATTTCTGAGGTGTAAATGCACTGCTACAAAGAGGCTGCACATGTAATACATAACTTGTTTACGACATGGGCCATAGACAGTAATCAGCTAATCCTTACTCAAACAGTGCCTTCTGTTTACCACAAATTCTTTCCAAAATTCTATCAAATTGTCACTCTTACATGCCCTGCATATTTTTGCAAACCACATTGCACCAGCCATGCTTTCCATCTTTTCCAAAGCAGAGTAAGAAACCGAATCACCTTTGATGAAGTGTTTTTTCTATTAACCAATAAAACTGAACGAGCCAATGAATTCAGGGAATATTGGTTGTAAATCCCTCAGTAATTATACGAGTCCAATCAAATTTACCACACTTACAGTAATCAAGCTTCATTGGATAGCAAGTAATTCACCTTTTTTTTTTTTTTTTTTTTAATCTTTAAAGAAATATCTAACCTCACACATATATTAGTGTCAAATCAATAATGAGGAAGAAAAACATATTCAAAACCAAAAAATAAAAAAAGTAAACCTATAAAGAAAAAAAATTAAGCAAAGAAGACAATCCCCTCAACAAGGCTCAGGAGAAACTGACCAGTGGTGACGGGTCAGACTTTTGGCTGGTGGTGTCGTCCCCTTGGCTGACGGTGTCGGAGCGTTCACTGCGTGTCGAAGACTCACTGCTTCCTCGCTCACGACTTCCCATTTCCGTTCCCGTCGAAGCCCTCTTCCTCGGCCCTTCACCAGATTGCTGTAAAGAAACGTACTACTGTCCTGACTTTCTGAAGTGAATGTGAGTTGTAGTTATAGTCATCATGATATAAAAAATGTAGTATATAAATCATATTTGAAAACACCAATATTGAAAATAATGAAGTAGAGTATTGGCAGAAGGTCTAACAAGATAAATAGAAAAAAAGAAATAGTAATCTCCTTCCAAAAACTTACAAGAATAATGAAAGAAATTAAAACTGGGTCATTCTCACTTCTCTACAGAAAAAAAAACTACAAATAAATGACAGGAGGGAAAATGCAAAGATTCCTTACAGGCAGAGGGAAAAGAAAAAAGTAAATAGAAAGACAAGAATGCCTGCAAACTGGCAATATAACTTTCTTTTTGACAACCAAAAAATCAAAGATTCCTTACAGGCAGAGGGAAAAGAAAAAAGTAAATAGAAAGACAAGAATGCCTGCAAACTGTCAATATAACTTTCTTTTTGACAACCAAATTAGAAAAGCCCTGTTCCAACTGTTTCTGAGATTATTTATATGAAGCCACTACCACTTTGTCTTTATAATCATGACCAATAAGTTGCAAATAAATGTTCAACATAAAACAATTATCATACAATAACAGCTGTTCATTATTTGTAATTTTGAACATTTGCTATACAATGAGTGGTAGTGTCCTGAAGAATTCACAAATAGATACAAAATTCTGCAGAAATTATGTAGTTAGTAAGCTCCATATACCTTTTAATTATCTTTCCTCGACTGCCCAAAAAGCACACATGACCAAAGATCCCGAATTTAGTTCAAAAGCACCCCACAGAATTTACCTCTACATACTGCAACTTTGACACAACCTTCATAACCAGAACTGGCTTTTATGTGATCAATCAAATTAGTAAAAGAAAAAGTAAGCCACTCTTCAAAAAAATATGATAATGACAGTATTTCTCAATGATAAATTTATCTGGCTTCCTGTACTGATATATCAAATTTTACTTCATGCATATGGCAAAATAGCACTAAGCTCTAAAAAAGTGTAGCTTGTAAAAATTATGCATAATGCAGCCAAACTATCTACAGTCAGTAGAACGTTTCAAGAGCCTGAAGCTGGATCTTTCAGTAAAAAGAAAAAAAAAAAAAAAAAAAAAAAAAAAAAAAAAAAAAAAAAAAGATCTGTTTTTAATCCATTCTAAGTTACAAGGAGCATTCTCACTGCCCTCCAGTTGGCACTTATGCTTTCTACAAAATCAAAAAAAGATTTTCTCAAAAACCATAAAAACAAAAAAAAAAAAAAAAAAAAAAAGTGTTGATAACATAATAAAACTACATGGAAATTCAACAATCAAAAGGGGTCACTCTAGACATCCCCTACGACAGCACTGTTTGCAGCTAAGTGTGGCAGCTATTACCAATCCTTACATGTTGTCATAGCAACTTACCAGGTTCTGCTGCAGGGTCATGAAATACAAGTAAAGAATGAATACTCAACATTGATTAAGAGAAAAGAAAGGCTAAAGAAAATGTCATATCAAAAGAAGTCAAAATCATAAAATACTCTCTCAAAGGATAAGTGTAAAAGAATACATCACAAAGTATATATCATTTAAGAAAACTTTTTTAAAATGATCTGGTTTGATGGCACTGTGTCCAATTCATTTAGCCAATAAGGTATTAGGCCTACCTCTTTTATTAAAAAAATAAATAAGATAAATAAATATATATATATATATATAAATGAAAAAAAAAAAAAAAATCAAATGCTAATGTCAAAAAAAAATATGAATATTATAAACTAGTTCCTCAAAGAAAACCTGTCACAATGAAATTTCAGTATCTACAAGCTATCCAGACCTAAGGGAACATTAAAACAGGGAAACGAAGGGCGTACTCTACTTACCAAGTTCTTGCACGTTTTGGACAGGGAGTCGACTACTTCATCAATCACCCTATCAGACACAGTTGATGCAATGGCCAGGTTGACTTCATTCACCTTGTTGAGGATGACTGAACCAGCCTGCTCCACTATGGCAGTCTCTACCAACTGGGATGATAGCTGTCAAAGAACAAAAAATATGAAAACCAGAACAAAAGTGAACAGAACAAAAGAGAACTTTCCCCATCTCTCCTTTTACTTCACAATTATTTCAGCATCATATCACACCTAATAAATCAAATCCCCATCAACCAAACACTACCCCACCTTCTCTCCTTTCACAATCATTTCTGCATTTTCACATCAGACCCCATAAACACTTATCACCTTGTACTAATAAAAGATTTACTTGTGAATCATAAAACAGAGTTTATCTAAGTCATCCTTCAAAGACATACCTGCGACTTAGCCAGGCAGGCAGCCCTTACGTCATCCACCACCTTCTCCTCGCTCAAGACGTTGGGACACTTGTCTTGTGCAGACCTAACCATGCTCTCAACTGTGTCCTTTAGAAAATAAACAAATAATGAAGTTAAAAACCATGAATAACTTAATCAGTAAAAGTGACACTGAAAAAAAAGGATAAAAAAAAGGAAGAAATAAATTTACAACATAAATTTCAAATTCTTTAGTTACTGTATCCATCTACACATATATATGGATGGTAATGATGAATGTGGCGGTGTAAATGTTGGTACATGCATCCATAGGTGTTCTCATTCTAATTGCCTGAAAATGCACAAATAAAATGTTTTGTTAATTTAAACTTTCATCTATAACAGAAGCATTTATATGTGTATGATTCACGTTGAACAAATTGTAAGTAGAACAACGAAGGGAAGAACAAAAAAATAATTTTAAAAATATGCCGAAGACTTTTTCCTTTTATTGCTTCTTCAGGGCATTCCCTGAAGAAGCAATAAAGAGAAGAGGCCTTAAGCATATTTGTGTGTTTTTATGTTCTTCCCTTCACTGTCTTACTTGCAAGCACTTATATTTGTTCACATTAATGCACTACAGCCATGAGATATAGTGCGTTAAAGAAAAGATATCGGTGCTTTTTGCTGTT